AAAAAAAAAAGCCACGCTCACCAGCTACTGCCCAACAGGAAGGTGATTCGCACTGCCCCCCACTGTCCCACACCACATGGGGGGCTCTGCCATGAGCCGTAACCCCCTTGCTCCCCCAGCCCCCCCCAGCTACTGCTCTCCATACACAAATTGAAATATGTACAGATGACAAAAACTGGAGCGCTCCTGAGGAAATGTAGTAATAACCTTGAAAACATGGGTTTATACCAGTGATGTGCATAATTTAGAACATTTAAATGCTGGCAAAAGCAAGAATCCAAAATTTCCGCCCCCACGTCTACCAGAAACACTTAAATGAAAGAATTGTCACGGATTTTGAATGACTGTTGGAAGGTTATAAAGGCATAAAAACTGGGAGAAGTATTAATAAGACTTGGATTATAAAAATAATCTAGGAAGTAGCTAAGGCACTATGGCCTTGATTTCAACAGGGAGCAAGGCTGGGATGTCTGCATGGATGCCTGCATGGATAGTTGAGAAATGGTGACATCATAAATGTTTATGGATAGATTATTGCATTACACACTTATGGACAGTTAAGATCTAAAAGTATTTGTTATAATGTGATTTTTTCCCCCCCCATAAAATATGAATAAAATAGATGAAATAGGCATACAAGTATGGCTTAAGACAATTAATTCAAAATATACAGAACACTTTCAAATTCTCAAAGAAAACAAATGGATAGACAGAGTATTTTTCCCAGGTTTTTTTCTTTACAGTAACCTTAGTTATCCTGTAAAACAGTAGCAGGTAAATATCCCAGTTCTGAATTATACTTTTTTTTTAAAGCAGCATCCCTTTTAAAGTAAGGGTTCCATTTCTGAGATACTGAATCACTTCCTGTGCTAGCACTTTTCTCTTTGTCCTGAGAGATGCTTGGCATTTCCAACCTACTGTAATCCCCTCAAAAATAGATTCTTCTTTAAAAAATGGCTTACATTTAATCCTCTATGGAACTGTATTGTTTAGTTCAAGAAACCTCTTTTCTTCAGAACATCTATACAGATCTATTCAAAATTAGTGCAAATAAATGCCAGGAGCTGGCTGGGTGGACTGTATTAAAATCACTGTTCAGTCAATCATTCATTTCTGACTTGTATTATAATAATGCTTCAATCCAGCATTTAAGTATTTGAAAGAGGGCGATTTTTCAGTTCATAGACTTTTTTCTGTACAGATGGCATCATTGTTACAGGCAACAGTGATTGTTTCACAAGTTAGATATTTTACCGAAGGATCTCTTTACAAAAACATATTACAAAAGTTATAGAAATAATAGCAATAGATATCTGTATAATGTCTTATGTACTTCAGCTATTAAACAGCTTGGGAAATGCATGCAAAACAATACACACAAATATTTTGAAAGCTGTTTTATTATTTAATGAGAATGTGGTGATTTGCTTCCATCTGGAATTGTTGTGATCGTCCATTTTCTCCATCCCTAGGATCCAGAATGAGAGCAACAGAAACAAATGTACCTTCTAATTAAAATGGAAGCTAAAGCAGAAAACAGAAATAATCATCATAGAAATTAGTCATGTTGACTGCAGTCAAGGAGGATACACATTTTGCATGTGGAAAGGGAGTCTAGCTATTATTATATAGGAGGATCTGTACCACACTGTTTCTATGCGCAACTACCGATTATTTCATAATTACATGTGTGAGAACACAAATGATAAAATATGGCAAAGATAATTGCATCATTGCTCTATGAATTACTGTTATTATTTATAAAACTCTATGGGCTGCAGTGGTACTTTACAGGGGAAAAAAGCATCCTGAGTAGCTCTGTTCTGTCATCCCAATGCAATATCATCAAACCTTAGCCATTTTGCAATCCATCCTATTTTACTAAAGTCTTAGAAGTGTGTGACAATAGCTGTAAAATTCCTTGCATTTTTCTTCCAAGACCTTACTTATAAAGATGTGTATATGTGAATAGAAATGAAACAGCAAAAGCATAGACATATTGATTAGCAAAGTATTTTAGACTTCTTGTGTGGCCAAACAACTCTGCCCAATAGTTGTGCCTTCAAGCATGGAGTATATGTACTAGAATCTTGAACCACAGCCAGTGTTGCCCTGTCTGTGTGATGCTGAGAGTGAGATAATTGGCACTGCTGATTAATTCATTTATGGTGTCACGTGAATTACAGCAACTGTGCTGGTTCTAGTTTTGATAGTAATGTGTGAAAGCCCATGTGGCTACTTCAGGGCTGCAAAACCATCACAATCTATACACATGGATCCTGTCAGAAAATCTGACATAACTTATCCAGGGTACTAAATGTCCTGATGCAAATTATGTGGATGAAATTAAACAGCCTTAGTTCTCCAAGAAGAACTCTCAGAAAAAATGATTTTTTCCCTTCTTTCAACCTTATTTAAACTTATTTACTCAAATATGAGATGAAATCCCTCCCCTGCCCCCAATGAGCATGAGGATGGACTAAGTTTATAGGTACCCATAGTAATTTGCCTATATGCAAATCACTACATATATGTTTATTTCAGAGTTGGTGTTTTTTGGTCCCTGGCATTTCAAATTTGTTCGTCATTTCCATATGCTCAGAGAGGGCAGAGAGCCTAAAGAGGGTCTGACAGTAAAGGCGGGGGAGCAGGGGCTGATAGGTGAAGATGGTGGTTGGACAAATGGCAAGGGGACCACCTGATCCCCCCAGTTAGCCAATGTTTTCCCTGCTGTAGCAGAGGGAGGGGGTCAAATTCAAGGCAAACCTCTGATAATTAGATTCAATACCTGAAAAATTATAACAAAATTTCTAAGTTTTCCATATATAGAATCAAAGTATTGGGGGGGCCATCTTCAATTTGAATAAGTACAGCATTTGGACTTTTTGTGGCAATTTAATTCTACCATGTCTGTACTGTTTAATGCTGTCTGTGCTGAAATTGGACATCTAAAATGTGTTCTTTTCCTTTTATTTAGATTGTAATAATGGAAGTGCAGGGTTTAAAGTCAGTAGCTCCCAATCGGATTGTTTACTGCACAATGGAAGTGGAAGGGGGAGAGAAACTTCAGACTGATCAGGCAGAAGCTTCAAGGCCACAGTAAGCTCTTCTCACACTTTTTGTTTTTTAAATATATTTTTTATTGTGTGGAATCTCTACCTGAAAATTTGAGTAGGGCATGTAAAAAGAATATTATAGCATCTAGCTAATTTGATATTGTATTACAATAATGTTTTAAAGTTGAAAAAAACCGCTTGAACTTTTTCGCTGACCCAGATGGAAATGTAACATATTCAACAGTACCTAATGATAATAATATAAGAAAACAAGACTTCTAGAAATTGTAGAAAAGGAATAGTTGCAATCAGGCAATGTCAGCCAAGGTACTTTTAAATTGCCTGCAAGCAAGACATTTGGAGATTGTAGTATCACACACTCTTCTTTGTCCTTTAAAAGTGGAAACCTTTTGTTACCAATTAGCCTGAGGTGCTTGTATGCACTCTGGGTTAATATGAAGGTGGCCTACTGGAGTTCAGGTTGCACAACCGGTGGAAAATCAATTCTCAGTAATCAGTCCTGACGAAACTTACTCACCTGCTGAGCCTATTCTATTTTAAATTATAGGATTCTCTTTTTCCAATTAATTTTTGAAGGATGTAGTCAGTAAGCTGACTGAGGAGAAAGTATCATGCCATCTGTAGTTGAACTAGTCAGACTAGCACAGAGAAAGAAAATTAAGTGTGCTTTTGATTGATTCCTTTGACCTGTAGCTGCACATTGTCTTCAGAGGTGTTTTCCTTGTTAAAATGTCATTTGGAATCTTTGTGTAGCTCTCTCTCCAGATAAATTGTTATGGTTTTACTGGCACCTCAGCGTGTCTTTTGAAAAAATTTAGAAATCAAGGTAACTACAATTTTAAAAACATCTTAGAACTGTGAAGTTGGTTTTAGATCAGTTTTAAACACAAGTATAACATTCCATTAGGCAAAATTATAAGCTGGTGGGTCACTTTTTCTGTAAAAATGCCATAAGCCAGTATACTTTCTTCTATTATTTTTCAGATTTTGCCACAGAGTCTGAGAACTTACTCCTTCACAATACTGCATCATAGCAAATTTACAGTTCTGTATATGGATGTGGCAAGATCTAAAACATGCTCAGCTCAGCCTTGGTTATGTTCCCGTAACTGGAAAACATACCATGCTGTTTTATTTCGGCCACACATCGGGTCCATGTATTTTCAGATCTCATTTTGTCTGAGAAGACTTCAATCATCATCTCTTTTTCAAATCATTTTTCTGGCACACTCCCTGGGTATGGATACTCTGTCTAGTACCCCTTCTGGAAGTGGTACCCCATGGCCCAGCTCAAGTGTTAACCTGTCCCTCACTAAGACACCTCAGTATCTTAAGGTTATCATTTCTTTCAGCTATATTCTAGTTAGCATTCCAATTTATCATTTATCCCACCAAGGACAAGTCATAATTAAAGCACATAGACTTGCTAAACAATTTCTGAAAACAATGATAACAGGGAAGATGCACAAATTTAGACAAAATGGGATTTGTGTGTTTTTAAAGATGTGACTTCTTGCTTCCTTTTCTGGGGAACAGGAATTTTTCCAAACCCCCTTCCCAGAAGATCATCTGAAATAGTGGATTCCTTCAATTCAGGAACCCTTAAGATAGCCAAGCTGTTCTAAATAAGAGGGCATATGAACAAAACACATGCCAAGAACTGTGCAAGGGAGAGGAGTTGAGAGATCGTAAGAAAAGATGAGATTACAGAGGTGTATATGTGGCCAAATCTCTAGGCTTCTGTAAATCTTAGGACCAGCAGGTGTTTGATAAGTAGAAGTACCACTAAAAGCTGATGTCATTTTTGTGATTTTACAATGCTAACGTATGCATGTTGAGCCTGGATTAAAAATGGCATTAAGAAATATCTCAAGAAACCTTAACAACCAGCTCTCTACTAGAGTTGATCAACCTGTCCTTTTATACCAGACATAAGCAAACTACAGCCCTCCTTAGAGCTAAAGCCTTCCCTCTGAAGAATGTATTTTTCTGCACTGGCATGCTGTTACTGTTGACAAAAGAGAAATCCAGCAAAACAGCATGGAGGAAACAGAAAATACATTGAAAAACAAATGGATAGCTTAGAATCATAGCTAGGCCAGACACTTTTCCTCGCTATTAGCTGCTTATTTAACCGAAGCACTGACCTGTTGAAGTTAAAAGAGAGTATCAAATCATTTTATGTGCTTCACATTAAAACTAGGGAAAATTTAAAAAATGCAAGGTATGTCTGTGTGATGGAAGGCAGTGCTTTTCAGAGATTCCCCATTCAAGATGTGTGCATGCTTGCTCTCAAACCAGAAGTGAGGTAAGCTACATTAGTATGGTGCTGCAGCCAGGCCAATATACTCTGCTGAACTATCACTTAAAGATCTAATACAGGAGATGTGCAATGTGCTGCTTTCTGCAGATAGCAGAATGGAACTGTGAGGGAATGTGGAAAAAATAAGATGAGCTGAATTGGAGGTCAGTACATAACTCTAAGATAATGAGGTTTCCAAATCACCTGTTTGTCAGAGGGGCATTCAACAAGCATCATCACTGTTTGGTATGGCTAATTCAGAGAAATGGGGAGAAAAAAGTACAAAGACTTAATTTTAGTGTTCAGAATTTGAAACCCAGTACTAGTGGTCTATCTGTGGCTCCAAGGATTTTGAATTCAGATTGATTAAATGTTTAGAATAGTGTCTGAAATTAAAATTGTAAACTGAGGTCACCTAAGTGTGGAGAATCGATCAGAATTTTACTTGAATAAAAGCTGAACAAGCACTTCAGGATATGTCCATTAGGCCAAAATTTGGAAAATGTTGCTTGTGAAAAGAATGAAAAACTTTTTTCTTTTAAACATGCATTTCAGTTTTCTAAAGAATTAAAGACTATCATGAGATCAGTAAAGAAATTAGGAAGGATGTCCCTCTTTTTCAAAGAGAAAAATAAAATAAATTATAGTCTAACAAATAAGAAAATAATTAATTTTAGGGTTAATTTTTTTAGGTTAGCCTATATTTTATGGGTTAAAAGTTGATGTAGATTCTCATTGCCTCCAACTGATTTTTTTTTTTTTGTGAATTTTACATGCTGTTGAATATTTTATATAAACAGGGTTTTCTCTTCTAAAAAACATAGGTAAAGTTCCACAGTGTATGTAGACTAATGCAGTAATGCATTAATTGGGGAAGGTATTTAGCACAGATTCTCAATTCCAGCCGGTTATAAGCATATGATTCTGTGGCTTACTAAGGCCTACTTTTCATTCAGTTGTATAAATTGATTACAGTTGTACTGCTTCATCTCATGCCAGCCCTATTAAAGTTTTATTACTGCCTGTGAAATATTTCTTCCAACTGTTTCCTGCCTTTTAGTCCTTCAAAAAAGCCCACCAGCATGGCCAATGACCTTTTCTGCCAGAGATCTGTAAGCAGAACCTTTAGAAGAACTCCTTCAGCAATATCAAGCTAAGCAAAGCTTTGTTGTGTTGACACCCTAGGGGGCCTCCTCTCAAAATAAAGGATATCTGATGCTAATTTCAGTTTCTTCAACTGTTACTGGTGTTGCTTCTCAATTTTGATGGAATCCTCTACAGAAAAGACCACATTCTCTTAATCCTTAATTTTGTTAATTTTCAATTGCTAATAATATAGAAAGGAAAGAAATACAGTTGTTTAATATAGAAGTAGATGTTCAGCTTTTAGGGATGTTTTAACTATTAAGCATATATTCTACAAAATATGTTTGCTTACCTATTTCACATTCAATAACGTTGTGTTAGGTCAGTGCATTCCCCTACATTACAACCCTCCAATCAGCCTAAAGCAGGCAACAAAGCTTCCTTGTGCTGTGTAGACCTTCCTGGTCGAGGGACCCCCATGCTCTTCCTGGAAGCAGGCACTGGTGGAACTGTCCTATCCACTTTTATTTCTTGGAGCACTGTAGCATAGGGGGGACCAGAAGGCTGTACAGCATGAGGCAGCTCCTACCTGCTTTAGGCTGATTAAAGTCTTAATACAGGAGGAGTATGTACACATGGCACAGCTTTTCCTGGACTAGCTGTGCAGCAGGCACAGGCGGTTTCACTTGGAGGCAGCATAATCAGGCTGAGAGCCCCTGAGGTAAGCTGAGGAGGTACCAATAGTGGTTCTCAGCCAGGAATGTCACCATGTTCAGAAAAGTGATGGTTGGGTTCCCTGACCCTGAAAAGTTTGAGAACTCCTGTGTTAGGTGTTCCTTTATGAAGTTAAAGAAGAATGTTATCATATGGCTGGTATGGATGACAAGCTGGGCAACCCAAATAATATTATTAATAGTGTATATTAAGTTACATTGTTCTGTCAAAAGAGCTAAAAAAAAAAATAGAGAAAAAAGTTTGAAAGGGCCAAGATGTTTTGTATGCATTACTCTACCATCTTTATCAATTCAAATGATTTAACCTTGGTATTTCTTGACTTGAAGTGCTTAATCATGAAAAAGTAACTATTGAATATGATCCTTTGAGTGACATATCTTGTGTATACATCACACACATTATCCAACTTCTGAGTTCTAATCATGCTTCCCAAGGTTTCCTAAGCCCTATATTTTTATAGGCCCTGGGCCAGATTTGGCCTGTAAGAACATGTCACCCAGCCCATGGGTCTCATAATTTGATGATGGGGAAGTTAACTGCAGCTCCCCTGCTGCCAAATTTCCATAATTGTGGGGAGCCCTGTGGGCTGGATGACATGGCCCTGCCTGCTAAATCACACCAAGAGGCTGTAGGGCCAGCATGCTGGGTCACCTTGTGACTGCATCCACTGTGTGGTGTTGGGCCAGCATGTCTACATGCTGAGCCCAAGCTGAGTCACACCTACAAACCAACCCTGTGTGTGGGATCCAGCCTGTGGGGCCAAAAGTTTAGCACCACTGCACCAGACTCAACTAACTTACGGCATGTGTGCTGGGAAATGTGCAAGCCAAATCTGCATTGTAATTTACCAGTTACATTTCTTTATAATTTATTTAGCTGCAAAACTTCTACTTAACTAG